AGCCTCTCCTAATTTTTTTTGAATTCTTGTTTCTTCATTCTGTTCTCATTGAATGATTATCTCTTCCTTCGGCTCGCAATCATTGATTTGAGTCCTGATTTCCTTCCCTTTACTATTGGTTCCCTGTATATTTTTCTTTATTTCACTTTGCATAGCCTTCACTTTTTCCTCCATTTTGCGACCATACTCTACCAATTTAGTGAGCATCCTGAGTACCAGTATTTTGAACTGTGCGTCTGATAGGTTGGCTATCTGTTCATCGCTTAGTTCTATTTTTGGAGCTTTGATCTATTCTTTCATTTGGGCCATATTTCTTTGTCTCAGCATACCTCTTACATTGGAAGGGGTGGAGGCTTAGGTATTCGCCAGGGCGGATCAACCCAAGTTGCTGAGTTGTGATGCTGTCTGTAGGGGAGGGAACGGGGCTGCTTACTTGGCTCTCAGCCAGCTTTCAGTCACTTTCCCAGCTACTCACAAGCAAATTGGGCTCTTCTCATGCTGATACCCGGGTAGGTGGGTTTGTGTACGTTCTAGGACCCTTTGGGTCTCTCCAACATACTCTCCTGTGTGGCTGGGAGTTTCTCCTGCCACTGCAACCCTCACAAGATTTTACCTCCAGAGGTTTTGAGGCTTTCTTTTCCTGCACTGGAACCCTGGACTGCACGGTCTGTCTCTCTCCCCTGCTGTTCCTCTGGTTTCTCTGCATGCAAATGAGGGACCGTCTGGTGTGCCAACCCCCACCTTGCCTCATGGCCTCTCTACCCCAGCTGCCTGTGTCCGCCCTTCCTACCAGTCTGATGAATGTTTCTTCTTTAGCTCCTTGGTTGTCAGACTTCCATACAATTCAATTTTCTGGCAGTTCTAGTTATTTTTTGTTTTTAAATTTGCTGTCGTCCTTCTTTTGGTTGTGTGAGGAGGCAAAGTGTATCTACCTACTCTAAGTCCATTTTATATGGAGGAAAATGAGGCCCCACGTGGTTAAGGGATTGACCCATGATCTCATAGGAATAGGACCAGTACTGTTTCTGACATTCTACTCTGTAACAGTTCAGTTGTAAGATTAGGAGCTGGGACAAAAATGGCAGTTTCTTAATTTTTTAGAACTGACTTTAATGCCTGATTGAGTCCTTAGCCTGCTTCCTAGCACAAAACTTAATCATTCTTAATGATTCTCAAACTTAATACTTTTTTGCATTCATTGGTTGATTCTTGTATGTGCCTTCACAGGGAATCAAACCTGCAACATTGGCATATAGGGATAATGCTCAAACCAACTGAGCTATGAGTCCAGAGGCAGACAACTCAATTTAGATGTCTTTAGGTAAATGGGGATCCAATCCAGTAATTCTGAGGGAATGTAATTTCAGGTTTATTCACTCATTTTAGGTCAGTTTAGAGCTCTCTAAACTTCCTGCCTCTTCTTCCCCAACACTGGTACAATTCCTGGGAAAACTATACAACCACAGCTGCAGTAGGCAAGGCTGGGAGTGTCTGCTTTTGGAGCCTTATCAAGTCCTTGGGCTTGCTTACTGGCATACTCTGATGTCCCTTGTTAGTCTGTCATCTGCATGTCAGTTGGATCCTCAGGTAACTTGGGAAACTGATGGGACCACCCCCCGTCTATAGCCACCTCCCACCATCTCTCTTGATTTCCCCTTGCCCAGTAGTTTCTCTCACTAGCCCTCTAAACTTTTATAGGGGATCTCCTTGTATTTTCTTTAAGACCAGGTCTGTGGTAGGGGAGGCAAAAACTCATTATTGCACTTTCTCTCTTTCTTTTTATTAAAATATATATATATTTTTTCCCTGCCACCCCCCTCCGCCCCTTAGTTCATGTTCATGGGTCATGCATATAAGTTCTTTGACTACTCCATTTCTTATACTGTTCTTAACATCCCCCTGCCTATTCTGTTCCTACCAATCTGTACTTCTTAATTCCTACACCTTTACCCCCTTTCTTCCCCTTCCCCCTCCCAACTGTTAACTATCCAAATGAGCTCCATATCTATGATTCTGTTTCTGTTCTGCTTGTTTGTATAGTTTGTTTTTTAGATTCAATTGTTGAGAGTTGCGAATTTACTTCCATTTTAATGTTCATTGTTTTCATCTTCTTTTTATTAAATAAGTCCCTTTAGCACTTCATATAATAATAGCTTGGTGATGAACTCCTTCAGCTTTACCTTGCCTGGGAAGTACTTCATCTACCCTTTAATTCTAAATGATAGCTTTGTTGGACACAGTAATATAGGTTGTAGGTCCTTGCTTTTCATCACTTTGAATTCTTCTTGCCAGTCCCTTCTAGCCTGCAAAGTTTCTTTTGACAAATCAGCTGATAGTCTTATGGGAACTCCTTTATAGGTAATTACCTGCTTTTCTCTTGCTGTTTTTAAGATTCTCTCTTTATATTTAACCTTTAGCATTTTAATTATGTGTCTTGGTATGGTTCTGTTTTCATCCATCTTATTTGGGATTCTCTGTGCTTCTTGGACTTGTATATCTATTTCCTTCACCAAATTAGGGAAGTTTTCTTTCATTATTTTTTCAAATAAGTTTTCAATTTCTTACCCTTTTTCTTCTCCTTCTGGCACTCCTATGATTTGAATGTTTGTAAGTTTGAAGTTGTGCCAGAGGCTCCTTACCCTATTCCAGTTTTTTTGGATTCTTTTTCCTTCTTGCTGTTCTGACTGAACTTTTTTTTCTTCCTTGTGTTCCAAATCATTGATTTGATTCTTGGCTTCATCCATTCTACTGTTGATTCCCTGTAAGCGTTTCTTTGTTTCATTTAGTGTAATCTTTATTTCTGCTGGGTATTTTTTATGCTGTTCAAGTACCCAGTAAGTTCCTTGAGCATCCTAATAACCAGTGTTTTGAATTCTGCATCTGATAGATTGCTTATTTCCATATTGTTTAGTTCTTTTTCTGGAGTTCTGTTCTTTAATTTGGGCCACAATTTCTTTGTCTCCTGATTTTGGCAGCCTCCCTGTGTTTGTTTCTATGTATTAGGTAGAGCTGTTTTGACTTCCTGTCTTAGTAGCATGGCTTAATGTAGAAAAACACAACTGTAAGTTGACTGGGGCGGAGCCTTAGATAATTGCCAGAGTGGGGGCAACACCTCTGGACTAGGTTGATGGAATCTCAGATATGGTGCAGCTGTTCTGTGGGTTCGTGGCTCTGTGTGGGGGAGGGCTCAGAAAAGGGACACTGGCCACTGCCTGGCCTCTGGAGTTTTGTCTAGTAGGAAGCTGTCCGCTGGCACTTGTCTTGATGCCAGACACTTCAGTTTCTACCCGTATGCCACAAGTGCTCTTCATGCTGCTGCCCTGGTGCTGGAGCCCAGGGGGAGTGAGTCTGCATATGACCTAATTCCATTGTGGGCCTTTTAAGAGGAGACACCTGAGAATCCCAAAGGTTCTTCCTCTGCCCCAACCCCCACTGGTTTTTACAGCCAGAAGTTATGGGGACTTATCTTCCTGGCACTGGAACCCTGGGCTGGGTGGTCTGGTGTGGGGCTGGGATCCCTTGCTCCCGAGATATCCCTCCCAACTTTTATCTACCACACGAGTGTGGGATCATCCATTCAGTGTCTCCACATCTCTGCCCTTCCTACCTGTCTGAATAAATGTGTTTCTTTAATTACTTGGTTGTCGGACTTTTATACAGCTCAATTTTCTGACGATTCTGGGAGATAGTTATTTTGTATTTTGGTTGTAATTTTTGCTGTGGTTGTGCGAGTAGGTGAGCCATGTTTACCTGCACCTCCATCTTGACTGGAAGTCCCTCTCTCTTTCTTTCTGAAACTTTCTCTTCCTTTGTTTCTGAATCTTTTGCATCTTTCCTCCAGGTAAGGGGAAAAAAGCCAGTTCTATCTCTTTTTACCTCTGTAAGTGGTTAGTGTCTTACCCCAGGAATGGTGACCTATTAATTTAGTAATTCAAGCCTGGGTCTTTGTTCCCAGCTGCCCAGCTCTTTTCACTGTGTTCAGTGCCCTTACATTTGGCTGTCATTTTGGGGAGAGTTTGCAGATGGGCATAGCTAAGTAGGAATGGCAAACCAGGCTATACTTGAAGTCATAGTCATTCACTGAAGAGTCTTACTTTTTCTAAATTTTTAAAAAATTTTTGTTGATTTTAGAGTAAGGAAGAGAAAGAAACATTGATTTTATTGTTCCACCCATCCATACATTCATTGGTTGCTTCTTGTATGTGCCCTGATGGGGGAGTGAACCCACAACTGTGGTGTACCAGGATGACGCTTTAACCAACTGAGCTACCCAACCAGAGCTCACTGAGGATTCTATACAAGAGCAAATTGTGATTATCAACTACCATCTTTAATCTAATCGGAAAAAGTACTCTATACTCTATATTCTCTACTTTTGAAAGGACCCCAGAGTCATTGAGTTCCAGTCACCAAGTTCCTTTCAACATTCAGCATCCCATTTGTTTGAGGACTTCCAATTTTCTGAATGTTCCTGATTTACTGATTTATCAAGATTTATAGGAGAATGACATACACTTACATTTCAGGGTGTCCAAGTTCTAAGCCTCAGAGTGGTCCCCAGGCTGAGGTGTTGGATGCTCCAGGCCCCAGCCCAGGAGCCTTCTACTTTGTTTTTGATGGCCCCATGGCTCTGATAATCATTTAGCCACTGAGCTTCAGTCTCCTCATGTGGTGTGGGCATGAAGTCTCTCACCTTGTGGTAGTTATGAAGATGAAATAAAATAATGCCTATGAGAGTTTAATAAATGTTAGATGGTCAGATTTTGGTTCCTCTCTTCCTTCTAAAATCCTTCATTGTGACATAAGGAGGTTCTGAGGATGAGATTCTCTCAGAACAGGCTTCTAGCAGCTGTTGGTAGGGTATGAGTTGTGGAGAGGAGCACTTACCTTGCCACTAAGGGAAGCCATTCATTTCTAATATAATTGGATTCTTGGGGAAGGATTCGTGGTTCTGCCTTTGAAAGGCAAAGGGGCTTGTGGCACTTGCCAAACCAGGAACCATGAGGAGAGCTATGATATTTCATTCCTGGCAGGCCCTGAAGAAGGAACTGGTGAGGAGTGTGAAGGGCCCTGGGAGGGAAGAATGGAAGATTGAACGGAGAGGTATTTTGAGAAAGGGAGAGGCAGGTGTGGGAGGGGGCCTTGGAATGAATGTGGCAACCTTGTACCTTTTGGAGTGACAGCGTGTGCACAAAGGTAAGAGTCCCAGATTAGGCCATAGAAAGACTGAATTCTGAGCCCTACCCCCTGGACGCTGTACAAGTCATAGGCTATCCTCTGGGTTCCTGAGTTGTGCTCTGTGCGCACTCTTTCTACTATTACGAGATCGGAGAAAATAAGGCCCAGCAGCAGAGTAAAGTAATAGGTTAAACTTATGGATTCTGGAGCCAGGCTTCCAGGGTTCAATTCCCTATCACCCATTAGTCACATGACTAATATTAGTATTATGCAAATTACTTGGTTTACTGTGCCTGTTCTTACCTCTGCAAAAAATTGTTGAGGATTAAATGAGTCAATACTTATGAAGGGCTTAGAATAGTGCCCAACAATGGTAAGTTGTTCTCAATAAGTATTAATTTGTATTAATAGAGCCTTTCCCTATATTACTTTAGATATATAATTTTTTTCTTTTAAGTATTTTATTGCTTATGCTATTACAGTTCTAATTTTCCCTCTTTACCCACCTCTACAGCATGCCCCCCATTTCCACATCAATCCCCACACCATTGTCCATGTCCATTCATATATGTTCTTTGACTAATCCCTTCACCTTTCAACCAGTCTCCACCTCTACCTTCCCCTCTTACAGCTGTCAGCGTGTTCTGTGTTTCTATGCCTCTGATTCTATTTTGCTCATTAGTTTATTTTGTTCATTAGATTATATTTATAAGTGAGGTCATATGGTATTTTTCTTTCATTGACTGGCATATTTCATTTAGCATAATAGTCACCAGTTCCATCCATGGTGTTGCAAAAGGTAAGAATTTCTTTTTTTTTTTTTTACTGCTGCGTAGTATTACATTGTGTAGATGTACCATCCTTTTTTTTTTTTTTTACCCACTTTTCTATGGATGGGCACTTACGCTGTTTCCAAAGCTTGACTATTGTAAATAACACTGCTATGAACACAGGCATGCATATATTCTTTTGCATTGGTGTTTTGGCATTCTTAGGGTATATGCCCAGAAGTGGAATCACTGGGTCAAAAGGCAGTTCCATTTTTAATTTTCTGAGTAGATATATAATTTTTAAAGAAAATATTACAGTTACAGGTGAAGCTTCTCACCACCCCACTCCCTGTCTCCTCACTGGTAACTAACTACTTTCCTGAGGTTGATATGTACCCTTTCTATATATATATTTAAATTTTATTACATATGTATGTAAACATAGAAATGATAAGCATCCATAAGCAGCTATATAGTGTGCAACACACTTTTAAAAATGGTATTCTAAATTGCATCATATTTCACCTTTTTTCCACTCAAAATTATGTGTGAGCTTTACCGACATTGACATACATAGCTAGGGCTCTGTTCAATTCTGTGACTATACTGTAATGGGTTGATGCATTCTCCTACTGATGGAAACTTCAACTGTTTTCAGCTTTTTAGTGTTAATATGTGCCATGTTCATCCTCATGGCTATCTCCTTGTACACATGTGTAAGTTTCTCTAAAGTGTATATTTAAGGTGCATACAATTCCTTGATTGTAGAGTACACACATCCGCAACTTTTAAAAATATTGCTAAATTGCTCTCAAAATTAGTTGTACCATGTTTTCCATTCCCCCAGTCTGATAAGTATAAAATGGTATCTTATTGTTACTTTAATTTTTATTTCCATTATTTTGAGTGGTATTCAGAATTTTTTCATTGTGTATTGCTGATTTGAATTTTCCCTTCAAACTACCTGTTTATAGTCTTTGCTTATTTTTATGTTGGGTTATTTGTATTTTTTTGATTTGTATAGTTTTTTGAATTAAAATTCCGGATAGTAATCCTTTGTAATAGTAATCCTTTGTAATTCTGGATAGTAATCCTTTGTCATAAATATGCATGGCAACTATATTCTTACAGTCCTCAATTAGTCTTTTCATTGTGTTTATGATATCTCTATTATCAGAAGTTAATGAACAATAGTTTTTGGTTTTTACATTTTTTAAATTATGAAAATTTTCAAACATGAAAGTTGAAATATATATAATGATCATCCTTAGATCTAACAGTCAACATTTTGCCTTACTGGCTTTGTGTTTGTGTGTGTGCATGTGTAGGGGTATATGTTTGCTGAATCACTTAAAAGTTACATACTTTATAATACTTGCTTAAAAATAAGAACACAATCACAATATCACCATACTACTAAGAAAATTAAAACTAATTCCCTGTGTCATATAATATCCAGTCATATTCAATTTCCTTATTTGTTCCTAAAATGTATTTTATAGCTTTTTGTGATGAATTAGGATCCAGTCAAGGTTCATAGTTTGCATTTGTTTGTGTTTTTGAGTCTTAATCTAGAGCAGCCCCCAAAACTGTGTTCTTTTTTCCTCATGAAATTGACTTTTTGAAGAAACTGGGATAGGTGACTTGTAGATTGTTTCACATTATGGATGTCTCTTTAGTGCTGAACTTGCTTCCTTATTCCCTGTATTTATACTTGGAGGCAGAGGGTGACTGTCCTTCTTCCCAAATTCATATTTGGGATTTGTCTTCAGTTCCATTTCCGAATTCCCAGGGAAAACATTAGATGGACCATCTGGATTAGGTGTTACGTTAGTTTTCTATTGCTGATTTAACATGTTACCACAATTTAGTGGCTTAAAACAATGAAAATTTATTAGCTTATGTAGGGTTAGAAGTCTGGCATGAATCTCCCTGAACTAAAATCAAGGTGTTAACAGGGCTGTGTTCCTTTCTAAGATTCTAAGGGAAAATCCACTTTCTTGACTTTTCCAGCTTCTAGAGACTATCTACATTCCTTGGCTCATGGCCCACTTCCTCTGTCTTTAAAGCCAGCAATGTTGCATCTCTTGACCATTCTTCCCTCAGATCCATCAGATTCCCAAGTTCAGGCTCTCTGCATCACCCCTCACTTCCTGCCACTACTATTGCTCTTTATTTTCTGGACCAGTGAGGGACTAGATATTTAACTAGAGCTGTACTGGTGAACGCTTGAACAGCTGGCCCCTGGGGAGAGGGATGCCCCCATTTGTAGTCATTGCCAGTACTTATGTGACATAAATATTCTCACTGTGGGCAATTTCAAGCTACCAACATGATTTCAACAGTCTTGAAGACTTCCTGAAAATATAACCATCATTCCAGCACACCACCACATTGAATCTTATTACATTTCTCCTTCAGCATAATGCAGTCTGCTGCTGATAGTTGAAAACAGATCGTTTCCAATGCTCTTGTCTGTTTCGTTTCCACAGGGGCTGCACCAGCTCATCCTGGATATCATTGTGATGATCCGAGTTTGTAAAATGTTCCGCCAAGGCCTCAAGGGATTCCGAGGGTATCAGATCACTGAGACTGTTAACAGAAGGCACCCTATCTTCTCCTTCTGGGATGTAAGCTCCTGGGCTCTGCAAGATTAGCAGAGTTAAAGGAGGGCCTGTAACTAGCATCCCACTTCCCAGTCTTAGTTCTATATCAACAGAGAGAAGACAAAGGGTAAAGCAGAAGGGAGGCCCCAACTGTCACTTTTATTAATGATGAAATTTATATTGGGGATGACTTGGATCATCAAGTGAGAGGATTGCCTAATACTGAACCCCAGAATGAACCCCTTGCATGCCAAATCACAGGGAGTGCTGGACCATAGCAGGCCTCCACCACAGCAGCAGGGCCTCCTGCCTTCAGCTCCCAGTAGAGAGGGGCAGAGCAGAATGTGGGCTCAGAGGGAAGGAGAAGGGGGTGATCATGCCCAGTTTCTCCTTCCAAATCTACCAAGAGGTTTGTCGCCCCCTCTTAGGGTGGAAGGAGAGGGGGTCAGTAGTGTTCAACTAGTACAACTCCCTCCATGTGGAAACAATGTCAGGAGCAGGAAAGAAGCCATGTCCATTCCAACAGCGATCAAAAGAGCCAGAAGAAATCCAGATGGGGTTTTCTGAATGCGCACCAGCTGTTCATCTTCTCTACCTTCTTTCCTGTTTCTTTACTTAAACAAGAAGGGAACATTTGCAAGACTCTGTTCACTCCGGTGACCATGCTTTCTAGATTTTTCTAGAATCTCCATTTCAAAAATTGTATCCCAGTGGTAGATGATGAGCCCCATTGTGGTTCAGAAAAGTTGATCACAATTTGGTTAACTTGTTCTAATTCCCTAAAGTCGTCGTCATTACTACCCAGGGCTCCAAAGTTTCCCTTACCCATTTTCTTGTTATGTCAAGAGTGACTAGTGACTAGACATAGCTTCTGCCTCCTCCCTGCATGCAATGATTCACTGCAAGAATTTCCCCAAAATGATTTTGAAGGAAAGTAGCTAAGGAGAGGGGTTGGGGGTCTAGTGGTGATTGGGCAATGGAAAGTGGTTTCTAAGAAGCCAGCAGGTAATGTAACTGTGTGTGTGTGGCTGAGTTTAAGATGTAGCACGGAGCAGGGGCCTGTGGACAGCTGGAGAAGAAGGGCAAGCCCCAACTAAAGACATTCAGGTTCATATATTTCGGAAACACTTTGCTGGCCAAACCAAACAAGTCTACAGCCAGATTCTGCCCTGTATTTGGGCCATGAGATGGGAAAGGATGGAGTAGAAGAATTGTTACCTAGGAGACTGAGGTTAGCTCTCAGGAAGGACATTCTGACTCAGGGTGTCATGCAGTGGTGAAGTGAAGGGCCTTGGAGACCAGGAGGAGTCATTGGTTGCCTGCAGACCTGGGCTGATGCCTGGGCAGTTGAAAGTTAAAGATCAGAGTCAGGTTTCACATCAGGGTAGGCTTGCGTGGAAGCCTCTCAAGGGCGGGGTATATGGATCACATGGCTGCTGGGCAGAAAGCTAGAGGGCTGGGGCAAAGGGTCAGGCAGAGAGAGCCAAAGACTTATTTTCAGGGGAGTATGTGAACCTGGATCCTTCTGAACACCACCTCTTTCCTTCATTGGCCTCCCTGAGAAGCACCATATGGATACCCAAACTATAAATGAGGGGAGAGGGCAGAGATCTGAGTGAGTTCTGGGGAAGAACATAAAGAATAGCTAGAGATGCATGGGGCCCTGGTTTGGCCCAGTATGGTGGTCAGGGCCTTGTTTGTCCTCTTCTTTCACACCTACCTCCCCCTACATATTTTTCCCACTCTCTTTGCTCATTCCTTCCTTCCTTCCTCCCTCCCTCCCTCCCTCCCTCTTTTCCTCCTTCCCCTCGCCTCCCCTCCCCACCCCTCCCCTCCTTCCTTCCTTCCTATTTATTTATTTTTAGAGAAAGGAGGGGAGGGAGAAAGAGAGGAAGAGAAACATCAATGTGCGGTTGCATCTCACACATCCTCTACTGGGGACCTGGCCCACAACCCAGGCATATACCCTACACTGGAAATTGAACCAGCAACCCTTTGGTTCACAGGCCAGCGCTCAATCCACTGAGCCACACCAGCTAGGGCTGCCCCTCTCTCTCCTCTTCCCACATCTTCTCTGCATCTGTTAGGAGATAGAGTTGGATTAATTTATCCTCAAGACCTCTTAAAGCTCCTCTTGGCCATCCTCTATATGGGAACCATTTACTTGCCATGTAGTCCTTCACTCTGCTGAAGACAAAATGGAGTAAGATAAGGAAGATGTGCTGTGTCTGGCTCATTATAGGTACTCAGTAAAAGTTGGCTTCATTTATTCCTTTCTTTTTATCCCTCCTTGTTGTTCTTTCCCCCTATACTTTCCTATTTATTTGCTGCCTTTCCCTCTTCCTTTTCTTTCTCCACTCTTCCTCTCTTTATTCGCCATTTCCTCTCCACACTCCCATATTTCTCTCTCTTTACAATAGTTTGTTGTTATTGCTGGGCCCAAGTCTTGAGCTGAGTTGGGGCTTTTGAGCGGAGGTGGACATGAGAAGCCCCGCTGGTAGGTTTCCCATGGCTCCCTGCCTGCTATGGTGGTCTGGGTACACTGAAGGGTTTCAATGCATAATTCCAGAAATAGTCTTGTTGATTCTCCTTCCTCTCCCCTCCTCCTCCTCTTTTTTTTTTCTTCCAGAAAAAGAAGCAAGGTCGAATCACATTTGATACTATGGACTTCGTTGCAGAGTCGGTATGCATAGTTCTGACCTTGATGTTAAGAATTTTCTTTCTACATCGTGTCCTAGAAGAAGCAATGGGCTGGGCATCAGGACAGCTGGGTTTAGTCCAGGTTCTGCCACCAGCCCAGTGTGTCATCTTGAGCTAGCCACTTGGTTTCTTCCTCATCTATAAAACAGGCGATCTCAGTGATCCCTCCCAGTCCTGGCATTTCAAAACTGTGAGCCCCTCCCTACGCCCAACTCTTTGTTGCTTTATAGCTGAGCAGAGCCACCAGCAGGGAAGAGCTCCCGCATTTGGACCCATGGGACAATAGCAGAAGGCACAGCAGAGGAAGTGAGAGCCCCAGACAGAGGAGAAATAATCAGGGTGGTGGGAAAAGTACTGGCCCATGTGAATTCTGGCTCTGTCCCAAACTCTCCAAGAGATGCGGGGCACACTTCTGGGTGTAGGATGGCCATTCTGATGAGGAAATGCCTTATGTCTGAATGAGGCTTTGGACTGTGTGACTTGTTCTCTGAATTTCAAGAATCATGATTACCTTCCCAGCTGGCTTCTCCATATCAAATGCTGGATAGTAATTGAAATTTAAAGGGACCTACCTATTTTTAGGGAAGATCTGAGGTTCTCATCAGTGAAGACCTGACTTCACCCTGGCCTGGAGTACCATGTTGGTTTTTGTCTCAGAGAAAGGAGGCCAGACAGAGCTTTATAACATTGCCAAGATGACCTGTGCCCCTTCTGGGTATAATCTGATTTCTCATGCCCCATTATGAATGAAGCACAATTAAGTCATCCAAATTGTTTTTTTGATTTTCAGCATTCCAGACTGGCCAGTGCCTGACACTGTACACTGAAGTTCACCCAAGTTTTTCCCTTCACACAGAAGAAACTAGGGGCCTCTCTGAGAGTCACAGAACTCTAGAGATGAAGGCAACTCTGTGTATTACACTAGAGGGAGAGAAGAGGGCACAAAGGAAAAATCCATTATATAGGCAAATCTTCTCACTCTCTTGAGTGACTCTGGCTCCAACACAGAGACAAAGAGTAGAGACTTAAAAAACCTGCCCTTTGAGTGACTGTTAATGGGTACTGGTTTCTTTTTAGGGTGATGAAAAGGTTGTAAATTCCATGGTGGTGAGAGTTGCACAACTCTGTGGATACAGTGAAAATCATTGAAGTACACTTTAAATGGTGAATCGTTTGGTGTATGAATTATATCTCAGTCAAAAAGATCTACACACACATATTTATATAACCTGCCCCTCAGGACAGCACTTGGATTGTGACCAAAAACTAAAGCTCCGTATAGTCCATACTGGGACTGCTAACACTAAACTTCTCAAAGAGAATCTTAGAATTAGACACTTAGACTCTAGACTCATTTATTATAGCACTTGTGAGACATTAAAAACAGCAGGTACATTTCAAAAACATAGTTTGAAAAAGAACACCGATTGAAAAAAACCAGGTTACGTAAATGATGTCTGCAGTCTGACATTTATATAAATAAAAGCAAACCAATCCTATACATATTCTGTGGGCACACGTGTAAGTGTATAATAATGTATAAAGACAGTCAACTCTGGTGATGGAGAGCAGATTCATATCAGGGATGATATGGTACAAGGGGTTTTAACCACTTATATTGTTCTGATTCTTGATGGAAAATATAGTCATGCAGTACTTGTGTTATTTTCAGTGTTTATTTATACATAAGAAAAAGACAGGAAACCAGTATGTCAGATGTTTATGGTTAGCTCTGGGTGGTGGGATCAGGGGCAGTCCCTCTTTTGTTCCTTTATCCTTCCTGTATGCTGGAGAACACAGTGAGGGGGCTGCTGGCCTGAAGAGAATGAGGGTGAGAGAGCTGAGAAATGGTGTTTGGGAAGCAGGCAGGGGCCAGGTCTCCCAGGCCCTGTTTGGATTATATTTCCTTTTCCCTGTTCCAGATAATTCTTTGATCTCCCAATGTATGCCTAAAACTGTTTCTGATTGTGGGGAATACTAGGTTGTATAACATTCCCACCTGCACTTAAGGAGTTCATTTGAATGAAATTAAGGCGATAAAATTTACTGGTGAAGTTAAATAAGAATTAGTTCTGTAGGAACCCAAGAAAGGGGTTCCTAAGGATTGGGGAAGGGGTGGTGGGAAAGATTTCCTGAAGGAATTAGGACCCCAAGTGGGCCTGAAAAATCATTTTGATTCATAGAAGCTAGGAGCATCTGTGTTTTGTCATAAATGTACCCTGTGGTAGAAATCCCAATGGGTTATTGATAGCAAAAGAATTAGAAAGGAGAAAGATTGGATTCAGACATAAAAATGGCCAATACTTCCATAATCCTTGCTGTGACAGGCATGTTCTAAGTCCTTTACACATATTAATTCTGCTATGTATACATATAGTTTCTGCTATTATCAATAGGGAAATTGAGGCTCAGGGAGAAGTGGCTTAAGACAGACAGCTTAGGAAGTAGCAGGCCAAGGTTGAAGCCCAGGCACCTGGCACCAGAGCCCATGAGCTTTTAATCCCTGAACTACACTGCCTTTCTCTTTTTCTTATTTTTTCTCTCTCTTTTTAACTTTTTTTCCCTAACACTTACTCTCTGAATGAATATGCAGGGCTTTGGGTCTGTTGTTCTAATGTCCAGAGTCATGTCCCACTTTCATTTTTGCTTCTGTGACAATTACTGTTCTGTAAGACTGCCGGCATTCATTCATTCCTTCCATAAATATTTTGTTGCGTGCCCGCTACATGTGAGACATTATTCTAGAATGGTAAACAAGATAGACGAAACCATTGTCCTGTTTACATCGGGCTTATACTCTAGAGCACCTAGTACTTTCTATAATAATGGAAATGTTCAATAAGTCTGTGTTGTCCACTGTGGTAGTCAGCAGACACATGTAGCTACTGAGCACTTGTGTGACTGAGGAACTTATTTCTTATTTAATTTAAATTTAAATAGCTACATGTGGTTATTGGCCACCACATTGGACAGTGCAGTTATAGTTTATGTGTGTTTGTGAGTGGGGGATGGTGGGGAAATGACAGATAATATACAAAAAGGAATTAACGTAATTTCAGAAAATATTAATGCTTGGAAGAAAAGGATTCAGAGCTTACAGGGTGCTGGGAAGGGGGCCCTGTTATTTTAGCTCAGTTAATCCAGTAGGGTCTTTCTGAGGACGTAGGAGTTGAGATTAGAATGAGGAGGATGGGGTGGCCACATCTAGGGGAAAATTCAGAGGAAGAGCAATCCAGAGGAAACAGCCCAGGCAAAGACCACAAGACAGAAGCAAGCTTGGCATCTCCAAGAGATGGGTGGAAGGCTAGAGACTACAGAATAAAGGGGAGAGACTGGAGATGAGGTTGGAGGGGATTAGGGAGATAGAGAGTCAGACCATGTGGGTTCCCAGGCTGTGGTACAGACTTAAGATTTTTATCCTAAGTGCAATGGGCGCCCAATGGGAGTGTTAACAACTTAAGTACCATTTTCCCAGCAGGTGGGAATAGTGGGTGAATCTGCATGCCTACTGATCCATGAGTCCTGGTTCATGAGGGTCAGCTAATAGTCTTTGTAGGTCCCATTTCTTAGTCTTCTGTAGCATACCATGGTATAGGTTGGGTCAAGGGGGGTCTCCCCTGACTGTAGTGTGCATGTGCTGCTGGACTCCTGGAGCCCAGGAAGCCCACATTGTCTGGGATGGGAGGAGCAGTCAGTGAGCAGCAATGGCAGTATGGTCAGAGGCTGAGGGTATAGGCCTTGACATGCAGCAGATCTATGTCCTAATCCTACCCAAGTGTCTTTGCCTGTCAGATGGGAATGAGAATTGTGCCTCGCTTCTTGGGCTGGGCAAAGATGCAGTGAGATGGTGTGTACAGGATGCATTTCCTGGTGTGTGGCTCACAGTACGCACTTACTACATGTCAGCCACTGTTGTGGGGAGTGGTGGGGAGTGTAAAAGCAGCAGTGAGCGAAGCCGCCTGCTGGCCCATGGAAACTGCTGGGTCCTGTGTGTCACTCTGGTTTTCTCTCCCCAGGGTTACTTCCCTCCAAAGGCCATTGAGATAACACAGAAGAAGCCTTCTTGGAGGACAGAACAGGAGATCCAGACCCTTTGTAACGTCTTGCAGGTTCTGGATTGCTACCGGAATTACTCGGAGCCTCTGCAGCTGCTTCTGGCCAAAGTCCTGCGCTTTGAACGGTCAGTGGGAGGCATGCCCCTTGGCCCCTGGGCTGGAGCTGGGCTGGAGCTATGCAGAACCGGAAGAGCCCAGCTGAGAAGTCCGCAGCAGGTGTGCTAGCCTCTGCAGAGTGTCAGCCATTGGAAAGCCATCTGTTAGTTCACCTTGCACACTGTTACGGTTGCAGTACAATTTATCTCATCCGTTTGTCGAGAGTCTACCCAGAATTAAGGAGCCACTGAATCTGGAGAGGATCTGGTAGGATCTAGTCCAATTCCCTCATTTTGCAGATGAGAAAACTGAGTCTCAAAAGGGGAAAATGACTCATCCTAGGTCGCCCAGATAATAAGTAGCAAAGCTGAGGCTCAAATCCAGGCCCCAAAAGCCAGAGTGAGTCACAGGTGACTATACTACATCCAGATAGGAACCAGGGCAAGGCTCTTGAACTTGGATGAGAAAATAAATTATATCTGTGTTTTCATTTATCTCTAATTGAAATTTATCTCTTTTTTAAAAAATCATGGGTGTAGGTAACAAACCACTGTATTACTAGACATTATTGTGACTTTTTCACCAAAAGAAATCCCAGGTATTTTCACATCATATTTAAGTTGTTGGAGATTTCTGGAAAAATAGTTTATTACATCTTCAAAAATAAGGTAGTTATTAGATATTAGTTATGCTTCTCTTATTATTTGGTGCCTTAATAAAGAGGCACACATACTGCTATATCACAGATTTGGGGTTTTGGTAGCTGAAATTCTGCCGTATTTTATTTTATACATTTAAAATGTTATTCTCTGAAGGCTTCACCAGATTGCCATTGGGCCTATAGCACAAAAGGTGTCATGTAAATATCTTGTACCAGAAAAGTTTAAGAGGTGCATATGGAAATATTGCCATTTCCAGGACATTTCAATGGCTTACAGGGGACAGCCTAGCAGAATATTTGAGGTAAGTCCTGTCTTGAAAATCCATGATGTAGTGTCACTGTAGGTATGTGCTCTGATATCTTCCTTCATGGAGGTCACAGTCTAGGACATAGTCACAGTAGATTATGACCTTTATGAACCATGCAGTATCCTTTCTACAGGTAATAAGCCAGGTGGAGGAGGTTATTCTCCAGCTGGCTTGACCAACGGAGTTTCACAGCCGAGGTCGCGTTTGAACAAGCAGTTTTGACAGGTGGAAGTGGAAAGTTCATTCCAGGCAGAAGGAACCATCTGCTTTGTTCTAGCCCAGTGAAGAAGAGCAAGGCACGCTCTCTCTCTCTCTTTTTAAAAATTTTTTAAAAAAGGTTTTATTTATTTTAGAGAGAGGGCAAGGGAGGGAGAAAGAGAGGGAGAGAAACACTGATGTGTGAGAGATAAACATCAATGGGTTCCCTGTTGCACACCCCCACCAGGGGCCTGGCCCACAACCCAGGCATGTGCCCTGACAGGGAATCAAACCACTGACCTTTTAGCTCACAGATCAGCGCTCAATCTACTGAGCCCCACCAGCCAGGGCTGTCATTGCTATCTTAAAGTAAGATTCCAGGGCAGGCAGAATGGTGTCATGAAAAGAAAAAGAGTTGTGGAGCTAGACGCTTTGGAATTGAATGCCGTTTGCCCCACTGTGACTTCAGGCCAGCCACTTAACCTTTCTGGGCCTAATATCCTCATTAGTGAAATGAGGATAATATGGATTTTATATATCAACATGGTGATTGTTAAAGGCAGTCGTTGATTATTGCCAGGAGTGGGAATTAGCATATTAGACAGGATCCTTCCAGTTGCAAGTGACAGAAAACGGCCCATGGGTATGCAATAGTGGCTCATGTATCTGCAAAGTCCTGTGATAGTTCTCCAGCTTCCGACTGAGCTGCATTGAGAGCCTCAGCATAACCAGGACCCAATGTCTATCTCCATTCCTTGGCTCTTCATAGCGTAAGCTACCTTCCCAGCCAGACTCTCTTCTCACAGTGGCAAGATGGCTGCTTCCATCACAGCTCCAAACTTTCATCCTTTTGGTTTAAGTCCCTAGAAAAAGAGAGAGTAACTCCTCCAAGTCCCTCAAGTCAGAGCCTTGAGATTAGTTCTTTCTGAACCAGATTGGCTTCACTTGAATCATCTGTGGGCAGGGATGCTCTGATGGTCTAAGAGTCGAGAAAAGGTATTTCCCCAAAACAAAATCATGATGCAGTTGGTAGAAAAAAATGTGACCAGATGCTTGTCAGCAAAAGCACAGATGTCTACTACAGGAGATTCAGGTGCTAATGCTGACTCAAGTGTGACTCGCTGTGTGACCTTCAGCAGGTTGTGGGCTTCCTGGGCCCCACTTTCCTTATCCTGAAAATATAGATTGAGCTAGATGGCCTCTGGGGGTCTTTCTGGCTCCAGCTATAGGAGTCTATTCTTTAACGAACACTGGCTGTGCTCTTTTGTCCCCAGTGTCTTATTTCCTTGCTGAATATGCCTACCTTCTCCCATTTAGTTATTCACGTGGGTCATCACCTCTTTCCTGAGTTGACCATTGCCTCTGGTTTGGATCCAAACAAGCTCACAGCCAGAGAGGAGGCTGAAGCTTACTGACTCCAGACTAATGCTGTCCTCAGTCCATCTGTTCTCTGATCCCTGCTCCCAGGAGTTTGACACAGGGTCATGTGGCCGGTGGGTGCTCTGGAAGCTCAGAAGGGGAGATGTTGCTGAGGACTGAGTCAGGGAGGTGTTACTGGAGGAGATAGGATCTGAGCTGGACCTTGAGCTCCTTGGAAGAATTTGAATAGGTAGGTAAGAGACGAAAGGCCATTCCAGGCGGGGGGAGAAGTGCAGACAATTGACGAAACAAAGGAAGTAACACACTCAGCCTGTTGCAGGGGGTTGGCTCTTCTGCTGCTGGTAGCTCAGTGAGGAGAGGAAGGGGGATGAGGAAGACCTGCTGAGGGTGCTGTGGAGAGATTGGAGCTGAGGGACATGGCAGTGTTCTGCAAAACATTGGTCTACAAAGGCCACTGATTCATCAGACCTTGGCAGAAATTGAAGGGCAGGCTTTGGGCTCCCCATTTCCTTCTGGGTAAAATCCAAATTTAGCCCAGCTTTTGAAGTCTTTGTGGTTGAACTGAGCCAGATTTCTCTTCCACTACTCCCCTGACCTCCTCCTTATCTCCCATTTTTCCCTCTAATGGAGTTTACGGTATTCCTTTGAATGTGTCATGCTCCCAGCCTCTGGACATGCTGTGCCTTTGGACATGGTGGTCTGCTGGCTGGGATGTTCTTCCATCTCTCTGTCCATCTGGATGGTGCCAGCCACTATCCCAGAACTTTCTTTGGGCTTCCTAAGCTGTGTTAAATGTCCCTTCTGTGCTTCTGAGTTAGCCTGTGCTTACCTTTCCTTAAGCATTTTTAAACCTTACTTGACAATAATTTTGAGAAAAAAACTATGTCCTTATCACTGTGCCTGATAGACACAGTTGGCATTTATTTAACTTATTGAATGAAGGGAATGAATGAATGTTGAAAGAAGTGAGATTTGAGCTTGCATTTGAAATACAGAAACTTTCCTCTGAGTTTAAGAACTAACTCCCAGTTTTCTCTGGACCTGGGTGCTTTTACTAGATCTAAGAGTTCCCAGTTGGATATGAGTTTTTGAGGATCATAATAAGACCATTTATCTCTTTCTAGGCATACTCATCTGTATTTTATAGATAAATAAACAGATGCTCAGAAAGGGGATATGATTTGCCCACTGGCACAGGGGCAGGACCAGGATTGGGGTTCTGGTCTGACTCTAAAGCCAGTGCTCTTAATTATTTAGCTACTTATCCATTGCTTTTAGCATTTGTTCATTCATTTACTTCACAACTGTTCTTTGAGCGTTTACTATGCACCTAAGCGGGCTGACAAAGGCTCTGCTCTCAGGAAGCTTCAATCTAACAGAGGTGGGCAACAAGATAAGTGTTAATAAAGAAGTGAAGCTTGATGGAGTCCAAACCGGGCTCTTCTGGGGTCCTTCCTAGTCCCAGCCTGTGCTTTCATGCTCCAGAGCGAAGAACACCACCAGTCCAGCTCTCCTCCCAGCATTGATTGGGCTCTGTGTCGCTACCAAATCAAATTGCCGTGATCTTTTCCCAGGTTTGGTCGCAGGCGTGTGATCATAAAGAAGGGGCGGAAGAACAACAGCTTTTATTTCATCTACCTGGGCAGAGTTGCAGTGACCGAGGATGAGGATGGCAGCAGTGCTTTCCTCGACCCCCATCCAATGCTGCTGTACAAGGGCGACTGTTTTGGGGTAATGGGGGAAGGGCCTGATCTCCTGGGGTGGGGGTGGGGTGTGAGAGGATTCCTGTTACAACCTCTCAGCCAGAGGCAGTCCTACTTTATACGCTGGGCAAGCCACAGCCCTCTCCAGGTCCCAGCACCCTTAGCTGTCAAATGCTGAATGAGTTGGACCAGGCAATGTCCAAGGCCAACCTCTTTTTTTTTTTTAAAGATTTTTATTTATTTATTTTTTAGAGAGAGGGGATGGGAGGGGAAAAGAAAGGTATAGAAACATTGATGTGTGAGAGACACATCAATTCCATGCCTCCTGCATGAGCTCCAGCTGAGGACTGGGCCTGCAACCCAGGCATGTGCCCTGACTGGGAATCAAACCAGTGATCTTTTGTGTTGAAGGATGACGCCCAACCAATTGAGCCACACCAGTTGGCCAAGCTCTTCTTTTATGATATTTAAGGAATATGCTCCCTATATAACTCCTTGGAGATACAGTGACTCCTCAGGCTTGGAGATACAGTGACTCCTCAGCCTTAGAGATACAGTGACTCGTCAGTGTGGCCTCTCCAGCTTCCTGTCTCTGGCCCAGTCAAATGTGTTGCCTCTTTTACCACAGGCAGTATATTAAGAGGGAGGAGTGGGCCCATCGAAGGGGGGATGAGCAAGAGTGCAGAGCTGGCCCGGGAACCTGCAGTCTGGGAAGGAGAGATTCCCAGGGAAGCTGGAGGGATTAAAGCAGGAGATTGGTGTGCATGACCGCAAGCAGGAAGCCAGAGGTACCTCTCACTTGTCTTTGCCCCTGTCTACCCAACAGGAAATGGGTCTTCTGAGTTCTTCAGTAAGGCGGGCCACCGTGGTCTGCATGGAAGAAACAGAGCTCTTGGTTGTCGACAAAGAGGATTTCCTTGCTAACAACCTGAACCAGGAAGTTAAAAAGGATGCTCAGTATCGGTTTGATTTTTTTAGGTATCTCCATCATCAGCCAGCATCTTCCCCTTGGGTGTTTATTAGGTGCCAAATTTGTCTTAGGCCTGGTGGGAAACTCTAGGTGCTTTTCTCCCTGCCTGAAATGTTCTTCAGTACTCATCTCCCACCCAACTTCTCTGTAAAACTCCTATACCTTCAGGTGTCAACTCAAATATCCCTTCATTCTAGTAATACTAGAATGGCTAACAATTATTGAGTGCTTGCTGGGCCAGGCAGGGTGCTAAGACCTTTGTACTACCTGTCTTATCTAATTTCACATGCAGTCCTGTGAGGATGTTTCTCTTACTCTCCCTAGTTTACGGGTGACGGAAGTAAGGCTCAGGACGCGGATGTCCCAGAGTGCCTGGTTCAGAAGTCTCTGAGCCTCCCCACCCCACTTCACTAACCAACCCACCTACCCTTGCCCCAGAATAGAGAGGGTGCCCCCTCAATGCTTTTATCACACTGTATTTCCATAAAGCCCCATCCAAGCTAACTCTTGATTCCACAGTACTTTCTTTACAGTGTATTTGCCCCATCAGACAGTAGCACTATGGTGGCACGGCCATATCTGCCCTTTTCACCACTGTAATCCCTGTGTTGTCGTAGTGCCGGGCACATGCAGGTACTCATTTAGTTATCCTTAGGGAAAGAATGAAAGTCAATGAAGTATATGCACTGGCACTGAAAATACAGGCTGTAGGTTGCAGGCTATAGAGAATCATGACAGGCAGAGAGTCCCTGTGGACTAGAGCTGAGAGAGAGCTTCACAGAGGGGCTGGAGCCAGACAAGGGGGAATTTAGTCCCCAAGGGAGGAGTAGTTCATTTGTTCACACAGTGGAAAAATAGGGCTGGGTTCCTTCAGTCTCACCTCATATGCTTATTGGCCATGTGACCCTAGACAGGTCACTTCACTTCTCCAGTGTTAGTCTCGTGCTCTGTGAAATGGAGATAATGATTCCTCTCTTCCAAGGTCTTTGTAAGATCAAATGAGAGAATCATGGGAAGTGTGGGCCCAGTGCGTGGCACATAGTAGTTGCTCCTTCTATGGGGGTCCTGCTTTCCTTCGGTGTCTCCAGATCCTTCTCTTCATCTAGACATGGCACCAACCCTGTTCCCCTTTGGTGCTCTGGATGGAACTCAGTGTCCCCACAGGCCTGAGTCACCGAGCTCTGAGCTGAGAGAATATAAGACCATTGGTAGTAGCCCCTTGGGACCACACATGAGGGAAGACAAACACATGCATGTGGTGTATAAGGTCAGGCAAAGACATGTGGTCACTGTGGCAGGCCTTCAACCACAGGGAGCAATCTGGCAAAAAGAAGTGAGTCCAGACACTTCCCCAGGGCTAAGTATTTGAAGCCACTAGGCCTCAGGATACAGGTAGGAATGGGTTGCCCAAACCAAAGTAGGGCCAAGATTTCTGGGCTTGAGGGGCAGAATAGCTGGTGAGCTGATGTGAGGCCCTCTCAGGGTGTTCCTTGGAATGGGAACAGGTGAGTGAGCCACAAGGTTGTGGGCATAGTCTCCTGGAGGAAGAACAGAAGTGAGAGAATCACAGTTGGCGGATTACACAGGTGTACTTGAGAAGCAGCAGAGGGGAGTGGCTACAGGTGAGGGCGTCGAGAAGCGGGCAGAGGGAGCCAAGGCAATAAGTGAAAGGAGACTGGCCACAGGCTAGGTGATTGGACCGTGTGTGAAATCTTCCAACCACAGAACATGCTCCCTTTCTGGAAATTGCTAAGAGCTGTGCGCATTCTGTGATGGAGGGTGATTAATTGTAACAGTCTTTTCCCTTCAGGAAGATGGACCTGTTGCAATCATGGTCTGATGAGAAGCTCTGGAATCTGGTAACCCTGGGGAAGGTAGAGAAGTACTCGTATGGGCAGCTGATCTCAAAAGACATTGTCAAGTCGTCGGCTGTCATGTTTGTCTGCAGGGTAAGAAGTCTATGTTGGGGTTAGCTGAGGAGGGCGTACCTAAAATAACATCCTATGTCCAGATAGGTGGGGTTTGCAGCACCTGCAACTGGCATTTGCTGCCTCGTTGAGGGTTTAATTTATATATTTTTTTTGATTACTAGTAAGATTAATCATGTTTGTTTACTATCTAAATTTTGTCTTTTGCGAAGCACTTGATGCCTTTGCCAACTTCTCTGTTGGTTGATAATGAAAAGAAAATCTAACATACTGAGTGCTTACTGTGTACTAGTTTGCTCACTTCACATGCTTTATTTAATTTCAGCCTCACAGGAGCACAGAGGAGGTTGGTATTGTTATTATTCTCATTTTACAGAGAAGGAAACCTGAGGTACAGGAAGGTTAAGTGGTTTGTCCAAGGTCACACAGTTGCTGAGGGGCTGGAGTCCACCCCGGTCTGACTCCAAAGCTCTCTTCCTCAGGAGCTGGGATTTGGAATTTGAATTGAACAGTCTGCCAATTATTGATTCTTCTCAGATCCTAAGTAGTTAATCATTATTATCATCTTAAGAGTCACCAATTTTTGAGGTTCTTTGGCTCGTACCAGGGGTTCCACTAGCATCATTAATTTTTATGTGTGTATTTTGGAATAGGTAATTCATTCACATGGTTCAAAATTCAAAAGGTCAAAAGAGTGGTAAGTTTCCCTTTCACCTCTTTCCCCTGCTGCCCAATATTCTTCCCTAGAGGCAATCGCTGTCACCAGGTTCCTGCATGTCTGTCCTGTATATATTCTCTGTAGACATAGGCAAATGCATGTGTATATGTTTATTCCTTTTTTCCATAAATGGCATCAAACTATACAGTCTGTTCTGCACTTTGCTCTTTCATTTAAGAGTATTTCTGTAGATTGTTTCATATTAGTACATATAGAACACATTCATTCTTTTTTCTACCTGTGTATTATTTTACTGTATGGTTATACTTTAATTTACTTAACCAGATTCCTATTGATGGATATTTAGGTTGTCTCAATCTTTTATTATTTCAAACAGTGTTTTGATGAATAACCATATACATAGTATTTCACCATAAATATTCACCAAAGCTCTATACGGAAGATATTATTAACCTATGTACAGAAAGCTGTTGTAGGTAAAACACCTTAAGAGAGACCACCCAGCTACTAAGTGGCAGAGCCAGAGTCCTGCCCCCAAACTTTTGGTGTTTTCCATGTACCTATTATCTAACTGTTAAGCCACCATAGACATTTGTCAAGTTTTTGTCAAGGTCCAGGCCCTGGAGGGATAGAAAGATGGAAAAGACTGATTCTCTCTCCTTATATATCTCCTCCAGTAGACTCTGAGCATAGACAAAAGAGTAATGCCAGCTACCAAGTGATTAGTGCAAACTCTGTGAGTTCTAAGAATTCAGGAGAGAGCCCTAGCCAGGTAGCTCAGGGGGTTGGACCGTCATCCTGATGTGTCAGGTTTGGGTTCCATCCCCAGTCATGGCACATTCGGGAATCAACCAGTGAATGCATAAATAAGTATAACAGCAGGTATTTTCTCTCTCTCTCTCCCCCTTCTCTGTCTCTAAAATCAATGAATAAAAAAAAGAAAGAAAAAAGAAAAAAGAATTCAGGAGAGAGCTCTCTAAAGACTGGAGGCTTTAAGGAAGGTTTACTGGAAGAGATGAGGTGGGATATGAGCCTTTGTAGTATTGGACCATTAGATAAAAGGAGGGGACAAAATTTGTTGTGTGCTGGAGTTGGCTCATAGTGGCCTTTGAGAGCTGATTAAGTTTTCAGGAATTCTATGTATCAGAAAACACTATAATTATTAAAGATTAAATTATATAAACCTCTAATTAAGTACATTATATTGAAAATAACAGTAATAAATGCTGAAAACTCACTATTTTCTAATGATGTTACTGCATTTTAGTATTATCAATGTTTTTGAGGTTATTATGTCTATTACATCTGTATGGTGTAAATACTATACAGTTGTGTATATTTCTTCTCAACCCCACATTCTATGACTTCACTCACATTGGTAGCTTAAAATTGGCCACCATGGGAGTATTTACACAGTGGGAATTGGCAGACACTCTAAGTCATGTCTTGATTTATGGTTTTGCTGATTGTCCTAAGAAAACTATAGAGAAAATGTTTATAATGCAGATAATATTTAATAATAGGGTCTGCAGCCATTACACTATGAAGAGGAGAAAATTGAAAAGATATTCTTCTAGTATTTAAAAAGTATTATCTGATTTATCATAGAAATTAGTCATATCATTGATGAACAGTAAAGTTCTGATATACATAGTGATAAAGCTAAAAGAGGCTTCAATTTATATATAATTTATGATTTATATAAGAGTGAGAAATAGTTTACCAGTAAATTAGAAATCAGATTTAATAATATTAAATTTATTTGGAAAACAGTGGATTGGGATACAAATTCATTTGTCAAGTCATGGTTGAATTGTGACTATAAATTGGCCATGGACATAAGAGTTCAGCCAAAGTCAACAGAAGCATCCTGTGAGAATCAGTTGGCTATGTGGAATTTCCAATAAAAGTATGGTATATTTTTTTAGTTATAAGTTGGGTATAGCACACGCTTTATAACATTAAAGTTTATTAGATTTGTGTACATTTTCCTAGAGAGCCAGTTGTTAAACCTAGCAGCACCACCAAGGATGTGGCTTGTGTTATTATTCTGGGTTCAGTCCTAAAGAACAGAGTCAAGTCTAGCTATTACAAGCAGAAAGGAACTTATTGGCTAACAGATTTATTAAATGGCTAACACATTTATTGGGAGTTGGGGAAGGCCTGAAGAAACAGACCTAGACCGAATATGACTCCCAAACAACTCCAGATCAGGACTGCCACAGGTGATGCTGCTCCTGCCACGTTCAGGAAGCCACTTCGATAGCCGCCACTTCGATAGCCACCACTTCCACTGACAAAGTGGATGTCTGGCAGTTCCAAAACCAAGCCTATCCAAGTGCATCGGACTGGTAGAACCCAAATCACATCCAGAGCCTTAGCTGGGAGGGAACTTAGGAAATGTACTGTTTGGCTTCCAGCCTCTACACACAAAAAGGGATTGGATGCACAGGATCTGACCCAATCAAGGGTGGAGATGAGGATGAGGTCCTTGCCAGCTGATGGGAATAGTGGGAAGCCAAGCTTGCAGTAGGGATATGCCTGGGGTTTTTACAAGTTTGGAGAATCTTTATGGCCATGTGAGAAGAGATGGGGGAGAGCCTGGAAGAAGTGGTGGAGTCCTGAAGGTCAACCTGAATAATTTGCAATTCCTTCTCCTCCCTGATACCTGCTCTGTCATTCCTAAAAGTGGTTTTACCAAAAAACTTTTCCTAAAAAGATTTAGGTGGGGTATAAGTTCAAGACTTCCTTTAATCAGCAGGATGATTACATCCTGACCAGCAGAAAGTGGGGGATGGTTCTTAATCTGTTTTGGCCTCCATTTCTTCATCTGTAAAATGGAACCAACTTACCTCCTAAAGTATGTAAGGAGGAGAATTTAGCATATACTCACTCAGTTAACATTTATCCTCTAATCCAGTGGTCCTCAGAGTGTTGTGGTTGGACTAGCAGCATCCAAATCACCTGGGAACTCATTAAAGTTGCAAATTCTCGGGCCCACCCAAGAACTGTTAAATCCAAAACTCTGGAAGGAGGGGGGCTCAGTAATGTGTTTTCACAGCCTTTCAGGTGATTCTGATGCACACTAAAGTTGGAGAACCTGTGATTTAAGAGATGAGTTTTCAAATTTGGGTAAGTATAAAGAATATCTAGGGTGCTTCTTAAAAAGGCAGATTCCTGCCTCCCCAAAGAGATCCTGATTCATTAACTCTGAAAAATTGCATTTGGAATAAGTGTTGCAGGTGCTTCTAATGCAGGGGTGCTTGAACTTTGTTCTGAGAAAAATAATAGAGATGTCACAAACTCATCCTGGCCAGCAGATAAGTTTGGTTTGTTCCTTCCAATGTTTTATTAAAATTTGAATTAGCCCTGGCCAGTGTGGTTCAGTTGGTTGGCATATCCTCACATAGCCAAAAGGTTGCAGGTTCGATTCCCAGTCAGGCACATACCTGGGTTGCGGGTTCGGTACCAGATCTGGACATGTATGATTCCCCGGTCCCGGTGCATGCAGGAGGCAACCAGTTGATGCTTTTCTCTCGCATTAATATTTCTCTCTCTCCCTTCCTCTCTCTCTAAAATAAAAAAAATGTCCTTGGGTGAGGATTAAAAAAAAAAGCTGATTTAATCATCAAGGTGAAGATTGTACAGAAAAATTCTGGTTTCTGCCTTCTTTTGCATATTCAGAAGATCAGGCAACACCAGCTGGGGTCCCATCTAGCTGGTGTTGAAGGGCACCTGCCCCCTGTAAATGGACTGGTCTTTTTATTTTTTTAAAATTTTTTTTAAAGATTTTACTTTTAGACAGAGGGGAAGAGAGGAGAAAGGGAGGGAGAGAAACATCGATGTGTGGTTGCCTCTCACAGGTCCCTCACTGAGGGCCTGGCCCACAACCCAGGCATGTGCCCTAACTGGGAATTGAACCAGTGACCCCTTCGTTTCCAGACCAGCGCTCAATCCACTGAGCCACACCAGCTAGGGCTGGTCTTTTTATTTTTTCGTTTTTATTTCCTGTCTAGCCAGCTCCCTGAGTATTCATCTGCTACGGAGACTGAGATGTCCTGACTCCTGTAGTTTACTCATATTACCACAAGAGGGCAAAATCAGCAGCTAGTGGCCGGGAGTCCTTGAGACCCAAGAAAGTAGAACCTGATTTCCTGCTGGCATCACAAACATAATTAATGCCCATAATCAACTCATTTTGAACAGTTTATCATTTGGGGACACATGGTGAAATTGTTTTCTCCACAGATACAGATGTGATTAAATACCCATGAGAGGCTTTCTAAGAAGAAACTGTTGGAGTGTTTCTCTCCAGCACCTGCAGTTCCTTGTTGATAAATGTTTGCTGAATGAATGTTGAATAAAACTCCATGCACAATGCCTGGCATATAATAAGGGATTATTAAATGTTTTTATCCCTTCTTCTCCTCTTCAACAGTAATCTCTCTTGAACCTTAACCCTTCATAATGTGCCTCTTAGAGTACTAAAAAAGGGCAAGATTTTATAAAGACATGAATTTTAAAATGACATTTTTCTTGCCTATCAGATTAGGAAAGATGAAAAGGATTGTGCAAACCCAGGTGTCAATGTAACACAAAGATGTATTACAAGGGGCTCTGTTATGCACTCTCAGGGGGGGTGAAAATTGATCTAACATTTCTGGAGGGCAGTTTGGCAATGTTTACTGAAAGCATGCATAGCCCTGGCTGATGTGGCTCAGTGGACTGAGTGCCAGCCTGCGAACCAGAGGGTCACTGGTTCATTTCCCAGTCAGGGCACATGCCTGGGTTATAGGCCAGGTCCCCAGTTGGCGCATGCGAGAGGCAACTGATGATGTGTCTCCCCATCTCTTTCTCCTTCCCTTCTCCTCTCTCTAAAAATAAATAAATAAAATCTTTAAAAATAAAACATCCATACCTTTAGGAATTAATCCCAAGGAGATAATCAAACATGGGTATTCTATTAGGTAAACTAGATTTTGCTGCAATTATAAACAATCCTCAAATCTCAGTGGTTAACTAACAAAGATTTATTCCTTCAACCTACTACTTGATCATAGCAGGCCAGCTGGCCTTGCTCCTTATGGTCACTCAGGGACCCATGCTCCCATGATCAGTAGGATGGGGGAAGGGAATGTTGAGAATCAAGCACTGGCTTTTAAAGTTTCCACTGAGAGTATCACACATCATTGTGCTGACAGAAATTGGCCAAAGCAAGTAACAAGGCCATGCCTTATTCAAAGGAGTGGGAAAAGTACAATCCTGACATGTGCCAGAGAGAACTCAAGTATCTGTGAACTGCTTTAACAACCACTCTATGCATTAAGATGTTTGGATAAGATTATTAATTAAAGTTGTTGACCATGGCAAGCCACAGAAACCCACCTGCAGTGGCTTAATGAATAGTGATTTTTCTCATGGAGCCAAGTGTAGATTTAAGCAACCTAGGGCTAGAAGAGCTGTTCTAGGAAGTCTTCCAGAACCTAGGCCCATTCTAGCTTCTCCTTTCATCCTTCACAGCTTATAGCTTTCATCCTAGTGGTCACAATATGGCTATCCACCTCCAGCTATCACATCTGAGTTTCAAGCAGAAGGAAGGAGGAAGGACTACCATACCTTTCCTATTTTATCCATCAGTCTCCCACCTGCCCTCTCATTAGCTAGGACTGAGTCATTGCCATGCCCACTGTTGGAGAATTTGGGAAGGTGGCAAGTTTTGTTTTGTTTTTTTTTTTAAATGTGGGATTTTACTGTCCTGAACAAAATGAGTTATATACAATACTGACAAATTAGAAACAAGCTAAATATTACTCTTCAAAACTATTTTTTGAGGTGTAACATATGCAATAAAGAGCTCAAGTCTAAATTTTACAGTTTGATGAATTTTTACGTATGTACTCACCTGTGTACATACGTAAATCAGTATCACTTAAATCAAGATAGAGCACATTTTCAGTACCTCAGCTGACTCCCTTGTGCCCTTTTCCAGACAGATTCCCTCTATGGTAACAACTGTTCTGACTTCTGTCATCACAGATTACTTTTGCGTGTTCTTGAACTTCACATAAGTGGAATCATATGATATGTGCTCTTGTGTCTCACTTTTTTTGCTCATCTGAATATTATTTTCAATTATTTGAAAATTCTTGCATACATAGAATAACACAAAGTCAATGGAAGCAATGATGTAGAATCATATTGTTTGGCATGAAAAATGTCCTTGATATATTCAGTTTTAAAAATATTACAAAAGTCTGTTTACATAAATGGGCTCATTTATGAAAAAATTAGATATGCTTATGGAGAAAAGCTTGATATAATATGCACCAAAATATTATTATTTGTTATTCCTGGGTGTTAAGATTGACATAGTTTTAACTTTATGCTCTGTTTGGTTTAAATATTTTTAAATTAGACTTTTGATTTAGAATAATTTTAGATTTATAGAACCTTAATCTGGATTCATCAATTGTTAACATTTGTGGCATTTGCTTTAATATATGTTTTTCCCTGCCTGAATCATTTGAGAGTTACGTGTCATTCATCATACTTATTTACCCCATACACTTACATGAAAGCTTTCTATAAAATCTGAAATTAACCATAGAATAATTATCAAAATCTGGGAATTTAACATTGGTATATAGTCTACAGCCCCTGCCAGTGTGGCTCAGTTAATTGCAGCATACACCAAAAGTTTGGGGTTTCGATTCCCAATCAGGGCACATACCTAGGTTGTGAGTTCAATCCCCAGTTGGGGTACATATAGGAGACAGCTAGTCGATGTTTCTCTCTCACATCAATGTTTCTCTCTCTCTCTCCCTCTATATCTAAAATCAAACATATCTTCTTAATTTTTTATTTTTAGACAGAGGAGAAGGGAGGGAGGAAGAGAGGGAGAGAAACATCAATGTGTGGTTGCCTCTTTTGCACCCCGCACTGGGGACCAGGCCGGTAACCCAGGCATGTGCCCTTACTGAGAATCAAACCAGCGACCCTTTGGTTCGCTGGCCAGTGCTCAATCCACTGAGCCACACCAGCCAGGGCTAAAATCAATATATTTTTTAAAGCTTAAAATAATGTATAATCTATAGTCCATAATCTGTTTCACCAAGTATCCCAATAACATCCTCAATGATCATTTTCCAGTGCCAACATTGTATTTGGTTCTCATGCTTTTCAGCTATTTGAAATTTTATAAGTATATAACTTTTTTTTTTTTTTAAAGGACCTGGAACTACTTGTATCGAGCAAATAAAATACAGTCTAGTGAGTCTGTAATACAGAGGGCTTATTTTCAAATTGTGGCCTGCTTGGAGCCCTTGAGACTAAACCTTTGGTTTTGTGTCCGTTGATGTGTCCAGGGCAGCTGTGAAGTCCTGCGGCTGTTAGATCTTGGTTCCTCGCCTTTCTACTACAAGTGGATCTGGCAGCATCTGGAGCTGATAGATGACAGAGCACTGAAGACCAACCTCAAAGGTAAGCAGCTGTCTATTTCTGGCAGCTGGTAGCACAGCAGGGGGCACCTGGTCCCACCCTGTTTCCAGTTTTCAGCCCACAGAGTCTTAGAAATCTAGGGCTAGGAAGGCCTGGCAGGACGTATGGTTGGACTCCCTCTTCTACAACCTGTGGGAAACTGGTCAACACAGCCTGGCGGGTAGGCTCCAGCCTGCCTCTGCCACTCCTTTTCTGCCTTTCCCCTTCGCTTCTGGTTCCTCTAGGGAGACGGCAAGGGGAAAAGAGAGCTTGGAGCTAGACAGAGCCTGGTTTGCATCCCACTGATTAACTGGGAGACTAGTGAGTACTTTAGCCTCTGGGCCTGGTTTAGAGCATAGACCCAGGAGCCAAACTACTTGAATCCAGAGTCTTTCTCTTACCAGTTGTGCGATTCTAAACAAATCACACTCTGTCCCTGTGTATCCATGACCTCAGTCTGTAAAATGTAAATTGTGGTCCCTACTTCATAGACTTGTTATGAAATTAGGCAGATGACAATATAAAGCTCTCAGAACACTACCTGGATACATTGGAATATAGTAGATGTTCATCTGTGAGTCTGTCCCCACTTTCCTTGTTGGTTGGTTGTTCCTTAGATTCCACATATGAGTGAAATCATATTGTTTTTTCTTTCTCTGACTGGCTTGCTTCACTTAGCATAGATGGAGAGAGCAGGATAACAGCTGGTGGGGACACTAGGGGGTAGAGGGATTGAGCAAAAAGGAAAAAAGACTCATGGACATGGACAGCAGTGTGGTGATTACTCGGGGGAGGGGGTATAAGGGGACTAAATGGTAATGGAAAAAACACAATAAAGATTAAATTAAAAAATAATGAATATAGTAGATGTTCAGTGTCATTATTACACAGGTTACTAAGGAAGGCTGAGTGAGATCATGTACGCACAAGGCCTGGTAGGTGCTCAATAAATACCAGTTCTCTTATGTCGACTTTTTTTCCTGTTTTTTTCCACTGCCAATCCACCAGAGAAAAAGCTGTATCCCATAAATTCCCTCCCCCTTTTTTTATTGTGGCAAAATGCATAAAATAAAAATTAGTATCTTAACCATTTTTAATCATATAGTTCAGTCGTATTAAATACATTCATAATGTGCAACCATTCACTACCATTCATTTTCATAACTTTCATCTTGTAAAACTAAAACCCTGTACTATTTAAACAGTAACTCCCCATGTCCTCCTCTCCCCAGCCCCTGGCGGCAACCATTCTACCTTCTGTCTCTATGATTTTGACTAGTTAAGTACCTCATGTAAGTGGAATCATACAGTATTTGTCTTTTTGTGACTGGCTTATTTTACTTTGTTTAATGTCCTCAAGTTTCATCTGTGTTGTAGCATGTCAGAATTTCTTCCCTTTTTAAGGCTGAATAATATTCCGTTGTACGAATATACTACATTTTGGTGATCTATTCATATGTCAAATGACACTTGAGCTGCTTCCACATCCTGGCGTTTGTGAATAATGCTGCTGTGAACATGGGTTTACAAATACCTGTTTTAGACCCCTTTTTCTTTTGAATATATGCCCAGCAGTAGAATTGTTGGGTCACATGGTAATTCTATTTTTATTTTTTTCAGGATTTGCCATACTGTTTTTACAGTGGCTACACCATTTTACATTAATACTACCAATGCACAAGTGTTCCAGTTTTTCCATGTCCTCACCAATACTTGTTTATTTTTTAAAAAGTGGTATCCATCCTAAAGGGTATGAGGTGGTTTCTCATTGTAGTTTTGATTTGTATTTTCCTCATAATTAGTGAGGCGCAGAACATATTTTTTTAAAAAATCATGTTTATTCTATTACAGTTGTCTCAATTTTTCCCCCTGTGCTCTCCTCCACCCATCCCACCCACACCCTGCCCCCACCGCTCCCAGTCAATTCTCACACTATTGTCCATTGTCTGTTGGTCATTCATACATGATGTTTGTCTAGTCCCTTCCCCTTCTTTCCACCATTACCCTCCTTCCCCATCCCCTCTGGTCACTTTCATTCTGCTCCATGTTTCCATGCCTGTGGTTCATTTTGTTCATTAGTTTATTTTGTTGAATAGATTCCACTTACAGGTGAGATCATATGGTATTTGTCTTTTACTGACTGGCTTATTTCACTTAGCATAATATTCTCCAGTTCCATCCATGTTGTCACAAAAGGTAGGAGTTCCTTCTTCCTTTTCCCTTTTCTTTTTTAAATGTAGATTGATTTTATGTATTTATTTATTTTAATGTCAAATTCCATTATAAAATATTAAAAAATTTAAATCTATTATAAAGTCTCAGCAATTAAAACATGACACCTGCACAGAAGTAAGTAGATCAGTGAAATAAAATGAACATTCTAGAAATAAATGTATATATCTGTCTAACAATGTAACATATGATTAAATTGATACTTCAAATCAATGGGGAAAATAAGGCTTATTCAACAAATGAAGTGCATGGACCACTATTGCTTGAAATAAAACAAATATAGAGCCCTATTTCACACATTATACAAAAAATATTCAGGTGAGTTAAAAGTCAATACGTAAAATCTAAGGAGTTTTAGGAGAAAATACAAAATAATATTTTTCTTACCCTGAAGTAAATATTCAGACCCAGAAACTATAAAGTAAAATATTGACAATATGACTATATTAAACATTTAAGACTAAATAGTAATATACATATAAAAAAAGTTAAAGGACAAGCAATAGAATAGGAAAGTATTTTTAACACATCTAGGAAAAGGTTAATAGCTTTTCTAGGGAAAATATTCTACAAACATTTAGTAAAAAATGGATAAAGAATACCAAAAAGTCATTTAAAGCTTTTTAAAAATAGAAATAGGCAAGAAATATACAAAAGCAGGTTTAGTTTCAACAAATAATAAAGGAACAATTAAAATATCACATCATTGTCATAATCAGATTAATACATATTAAAAATATTGGTAATATCAAGTATTGGCAACTGTGAAAGGAACTGGGTATTCATAGACTCCTTTTCTTCATCTTCTTAAAGCAGCCCCTTTAGCATATCTTGCAGTGCTGGTTGGGTGGAGGTGTACGCTTTTAGCCTTCTTTTGTCTGGGAATCTCCTTATTTTGCCTTCCATTTTCTTGAGAGCCTTGCTGGGTAGAGCTGTCTTTGTTGCAGGCCTTTGCTTTTTATGACTTGGAATATTTCTTGCCATTCCCTTCTGGCTTGTAGTGTTTCTGTTGAGAAGTCAGCTGCTAGCCATATCGGGGCTCCCTTGTACGTTACTACCTGTTTCTCCCTTGCTGCCTTTAGGATTCTCTCTTTGTCTTTGATATTTGCCATTTTAATGATGATGTATCTTGGAGTGGGCCTCATTGGGTTCCTCTTGAATGGTACCCTCTGTGCTTTCTGGACTCATGTGACTTTTTCTTTCCTCCAGTTAGGGAAGTTTTCCATCTTTACTTTTTCAAACAGGTTCTCTATCCCTTCCTCATCCTCTTCTCCTTCTGGTATCCCTATTATACAGATATTATTATGTTTTAGGTTGTCCTGCATTTCCCTAAATGCCTCTTCATTCTTTTTGAGTCTTTTTTCATTTTCTTGCTCTTTCTGGGAGCTTTTGTCTACCTTGTCCTCCAGCTCACTGATTTGATCCTCTGCTTCATCTAGCCTGCTTTTGATGCCTTCTACTGTGTTCTTCAATTCAGAAATTATATTCTTCATTTCCTCTTGTCTCTTATTGATAGTTTCTATGTCCTTTTACATGGTGATATAGTTTGCAGTAAGTTCCTCGTAGTTTCCCTGTAGTTTTTTGTAATTCTCTCTGAACTTACTGAGTTCATTGAGCTTCTTTAGAATTGTTGGTTTGAACTCAATGTCTGATGGTTTACTTGTCTCTATTTCATTTAGTTCTCTTTCTGGGGATTCCTCCTTACCCTTCGAGTGGGGGGATGTTTCTTTGTCTTCCCATTGTGAGACTTTTCTTTTTTGCTTCCTCTTTTTAAATTGATCTGTCTTGATTTCCTGACTTTGTGGTGTGAATTTCTCTGGTAGGAGACCACTGTTTTTTCCTCTCTGGATCTGCCTCTGATGATGTCAGATGTTGTCCCTGTCTGACCTTAGGCAGTCTGTTTGAGACTTCCGGGAATCTACGGTCTGTGGCTGTCTCCTTCAGCTGTTAATCTAGTCACTCTGCACTCAGTAGGCCGTCTTAGACACCACAGGGTGGGGCAAAGTCCCTCCTGGGGGCAGGGCTATTGGGTTCTCTCACGCTGTTGCCCCTCAGGGGAATGGTCTGCCTGAGCCAGATAGCTGCTGCTGTATGGGAGAGGAGTCAGCACCAGGATTCTGCTGGCTACTCTCTCCGTTTTTTGCCCAAAGCCTCCGTCTCCATTCTCTCTTCAAGTGTTTCTAGACCACTCTGCGCCCTATTTAGCAACAGGGATCTACTATCTATGGCTGCCACTCTGTACTCAACAGGGCCAAATCCCTCCTGGGGGCATGGCTATTGTTTCCTCTCATGCTGCTGCCGCTCAGGAGAGTGGTCTGTCTGAGTAAGATGGCTACCTCCACATGGGGGATGAGTCAGCACTGGGATCCCACCAGTTACACTCTTAATTCTCTCCCCAAAGCCTCCTTCCCCAGTCTCCCCTCAGGCATCTCTAGCCCACTCTGCCCCCACCGTTGCTGGAGACCAGGGTAAGTGGCTGCAAATAAAAATTTTTGCGTTGGCCCTTTGAACAGCTCTTTGCATCTCCAGCTTCCTGTCTCTGGCAGAGAGCAACCCTAATGTTTTTCACAGCTGGCTGTTTTCTGTGTACTTTTTGGGCTCTGGTGCTGTAGGCTGGAGATCCCCACTTATAGTTTAGACCCCACTCTTCTCAGGGGGATCCAGCTGGCCATTTTAGTATCGCTCTGGTGCTGCGCCCATGGGCCCTCCACCTGCCTTCTCTAGTCTCTACCGCACTCCTTACCAGTTAGGTTGTGCTAATGCCGATTCTT